AGTCTGCCTTGTGTCAGATGAGGACCATTCTTTTATTGAACTCTGCCAACAGAGATTTCCCAAGGCACCATCCGGAGGTCCAAACACAAAGGAAACACACACATCATTTTGGTAGGATGGTGCTAGAAGTGTGCCTGGATACCGACGAGCAGATTTTATGCAAGAGGATAGTCCAGGGATAACATACATTTTGCAACAGGATTTCTCTATTGAAAGCATTTTTTAAAACCCTCAAATGCAACAACTTTGGGGAGTGAGAACCAGAAGAGAGAGAGAGAATAGAGGCATATTGGGGAAGTGGAGAGACAGAGAGCAAAGGAAGGATGGGTAAGGGGACCATCTACATAGTGTAACCTCTAAGGGCCTATTGACTTAAAATTCCACCATGAAAAACTCATTCTTCAGTCTGCAAATGTTGTCTCCCATTAAAATGGAAATAGCTGTGAATCATGTCTGACTAGGTGTATCATATCCTTACCTGAGAACACATTGTGATGGGGTGTCAGGAAAGGTCTGGAAAAAATGGGTGAAAGGGTAAGGTTGCCCAAGGAGGAAGCAGGCTTGCTTAACAGGGCATCTTGCAGACAGAGACAGCTGGACAGAGAACATTAATTTGATTTGCTATCACTTAAAAGTAAACTGCTCAAAACTAGGAATGACCATGAAATATATCCATCGTTTCCCCCCAACCACCCTGCTAAGGAACTTCTTGGCTCATCCTGACCAATGATGTTAGCTCCTGAATGGAGAAGAAAGCAACAGGAGACCCACCTCATCTCCAGGGAGATAACCTGGTGGTCTAAGCTGGCCTGGGGAATGAGAGCTCTGCATTCCAGTTTGAGGGCTTTCCTCTGACTCTCTGTGTGGCCTCTAGCCAGATTCCAAACAGCTTTAGTTTCTTTGTATGTCAAACCAAGATAAATACCTAACTTTCCATCTCTCTGGGGCATGGTAAGGCTTTGTTGCTTCCACTTTTATTGACATGTGTCCAAAGACCATAAGAAGAAAGCTTTTGAAAAGTTTGAAGGCTAATTATGTTTACTAGCAATATTATCACTATGACATTAGGGCTTAATGTAGTAGTAGCCAGAAAGAAGAATGTATCAGGAGCATGGGAAAATGGATAATACAGTACTTCACTCAGAGAAGCAGTGTATTTGTAGTGGAAGAGAAATGCAAAAGGGGTTTTGGGAATAGGGTGCAAGGCAGAGAAGTCTACAATTGATACCAGATGCCATCAGAAGCTAACAACCTGACAAGCACCGTCCTCATAAAACAAATTCCTTAAAAAGGAAGCAAATGGAAATATAAGCTAGTGAAAGAATTTGCAGCAGCTGCCCTAAAACCATTTCTCACTTCATAAACAGGTCTGTGTTTGATGCTTTTTCTTTTTTTTATCTTGGTCTTATGTCATGCCACTTTCCCCCTCTTCTAAGATCCCCTGTCCTATTCTGCCTCCCTTGCTTCCAGTGCGGATGGACCTTGCACATGAGTAGTCATAGCAACCATAGTTAATGGAACACCAACTTGATGGAAGGAGGCTCATTCGGAGTATTTGTTTTGTGTCTTATCTCAGCACGTATTTGTCCTCAGTGATGACACTGAGGGTGAATTGGATGGAGTCACTGGAAAACAGCACGTGCTATTTCACATTAATTTCTTGGTAGTGAGCTGACATGAACCAGAACTGTTAATGACTCTCTGTTTTCCAGTCCTCTCTGCTTAACACACTGAAGAAATATTACATTTTGTGCATATCAAGGGCATGTAGTATCTATGGAACTTGGAGTTGTTTAGCATCACTAATGAGGGGTTCTCATCTCATTCCATGAAGGATGGTCTGGTTTCAGATTCCCTATGCAGCTAGGCTCAATGAAGACTCAGAGACAAAGCTCTGTTTCCTATATTGCAGGCCTTATTAGCAGTGTTGAATTTGAAGAATCCATCTCCCTCAACTCATATATTCCTCCCTTCATCAGGTTCCGTGTAGTGAGTCTGAGGAAATACTACATGATCCCAGAGAATAATCAGGGCTTACAGGAGAAAAATGTTGATTGCATACCACTCAACTCCAATTCCTCCATCCTATGCCTGATAAGCATGGGTAAAAAAAATGAGAATGTCACTGACATAGTTTAAATGCCATAGCATATTCAAATCAAATCCATACTTCTTGGACGAGTGCTTTTTAAATCAATTCTCAATTATTTCAGTGCAATTCAATGACATTTTATTTTCCACTTTCTTATACTGTTGCCCAGTTCCTTGATAAAAGTCACTGGCCTCTAACAGAATTCAAGAGCAAATAAAACAAGTGAATGATGACGAGACTCACAGAAGACATTTTGAATAAGATTTACCACCACTGGCAAAAACATCATAAGCAAGAAAGTATAAAAAGTATTATGCTGTTTTCCCTCACTAGACTATGAGTTCTTTAAGGGCATACTTATTTTATCCCCAGTACTGAGACCAATGCGCTAAGTGCTTGGGAAATGTTTATGAATGAATGAAGCAGTAGGGCAAGATGGTTGAATCATTGTTTGATAATGATTTTTTAACTTTGTATCCCCATCTATCACTATAAAATTTAACAAATTTACCATTTTGATAGCCATTGACTTACTTTGATGTCTATGACACAAAAATATTTAATTCAGCAAACATTTGTTGCATCCCCCACAGTGTGGTGTATGGTAAATACAAAAGTGGGTAGAAGTCAGTATTTGTCTTCAAGCAGATCATAGTCTAGTTGGGAGATTCAGCAGCATTTAAGAGACACCTGTGTACTCATTGCCTTGTGGATCAAAGGATGGATAAATTAACTAAAAATCATGGCTATAATACAGATAGAGTAAAAGAAATATTAGAAAAGTTATTTTTTAAATTTCCCTTCAAGATTCAAAGAAGGAAGATATCTGGAGCGGCTTCTTGGAGTCGGAAGGCCTTTTAAAAGGTTCAATAAATTAAGCAAAGGTACAGACATGGGAAAACCAAAACATGTAGGTGACTCATAGAAAACAGGCCATTGAATGTGGGATATGTGCCATTTGCAGTGGAGCAGTAGAGAGACTGAACTCTACATAAGAGTACACACCATTATCATCCTTATCTCATGGGGGAAGGACTTGAAAGCCTGGGGAATAAATAACTCAACCATATCACACAGGTAGTAAATGGTGAATCCAGGATTCGAATTCACACAGCCTGGGGGCAGTGCTCTAAATTTTAATCACTTTGGCTCTGCCTTGATAAAAGAGTAACCCTCTTTTGAATCTGTTGCATCCTTGATGCTGTCATGGTCTTGACAGGGTCCCCTCGAACCCTGGGGAGTTTAACTGTCTCTCCTATTCCTACATGACTAGCTTTAGAGACCCAGACAGCAGTTCTCTGATGAGGTAATGTCCTGGAAGCATCTAGCACAGCATTAGGCATGTGGCAGGGACTTGATTTGTGTGAGTTTTTTTCTTCTTTCTGTCATGGGCTCCATTTCTGGTTTGTTGTTCAGTCGCTCAGTCATGTCCGACTCTTTGCGACCCCATGGATTGCAGCATGCCCGGTTTCCCTGTCCTCCACTATCTCCTGGAATTTCCTCAAACTCATGTCCATTGAGTCAGTGATGCCATACAACCATCCAGTCCTCTGTCACCCCCTTCTCCTGCCCTCAATCTTTCCCAGCATCAACTTTTCCAATGAGTCAGTGCTTTGCATCAAGCGGCCAAAGTATTAGAGCTTCAGCTTTAGCATCAGTCTTTCCAATGAGTATTCAGAGTTGATTTCCTTTAGGATTGATTGGTTTGATCTCCTTACTGTCCCAGGGACTCTGAAGACTCTTCTCCAGCACCACAGTTTGAAAGCATCAATTCTTAGGCATCAGACTTCTTTATGGTCCATCTCTCACATCTGTACTTGACTACTGGAAAAGCCATAGCTTTGACTTTGTGGACCTTTGTTGGCAAAGTGATGTCTCTGCTTTTTAATGTGCTGTCTAGATTTATCATAGCTTTTCTGCCAAGCCAGTGTTGATATTCAGTGGTGTATGTATGTGCGCTAAGTAACTTCAGTCATGTCCAACTCTTTGTGATCCTATGGACTGTAGCCTGCCAGGCTCCTCTGTCCATGGGATTCTCCAGGCAAGCATTCTAGAGTGGGTTGTCATGCCCTTCTCCAGGGAGTCTTCCTAACCCAGGGATTGAACCCATGTCTCTTAAAAACTCCTGTATTGGCAGGCAGGTTCTTTACCACTAGTGCCACATGACTGCTATATTCAAAGTGTATAACCATCCGGGTCCTACTGTATAGCATATAGAACTATGCTCAGTGTTATTTGGCAGCCTGGATGGGAGGGGATTTGGGGAGACCATATACATGTACATGTATGGCTGAGTCCCTTCACTGTTCACCCGAGCTATCACAACGTTGGTTGTTAATCGTTGTTAAACATTGGTTGTTAATACCCCAAAACAAAATAAAAAGTTTAAAAAAAATGCTCCATGCAATCAGTAAATAAATGTTGCCTTTTCTGCCAGCTCAAACACCTGTCCTACAGGGCCCCCTGAGACCAACCCATGATGGAAAAACAAAAAGGTTTCTTCCTGACACAACCAGGGGCCTCCAGAATTCACTCCTGATCTTTGCCCTGCATCTGTTCTGATTGTTTGGGGCTCAGAAGTACTGGCTGTGATATATTTTGAGGATTACCCTCTGATCTGTTCACTTCTATGCCATCCAGAGCTCTGGGGACACTCTCCCCACCTGTCGCATTGTCATTTTCTCCTCCTGGAAGATCCATAGAAAGCTGGTTCAAAATCACTTGGTAGCTGATATTGTTCCTGTTTACTTTATGTTGCTTGGTTCCAGGTCACAAGGAGGAAATGATGAGTTTAATGTAGGTTTTCAAGAAAGTGTTCTCTTTGGTTTAGAGACCCTTCTCAAAGGGTGAGGCAGTCTTTGCTGCCTAGCAAGTCAATGTAAGATATTTCTGTTTCTGTCATCGCCAGCTGTGTCCATCGGCCCTGTGGGGAGCAGGGCAGCTGTGTGCCATTGCTGTTGGATCACGCGGATGTGGTGAACTGTACCTCTGGTGGTCCGGGTCACATGAAGTGCTCTATCACCTGTCAGAGGGGGTTTGCCCTTCAGGCCAGCAATGGGCAGTACCTCAGGCCCATGCAGGTGAGTTGGAAATTTGGGGTCATCAGGACCAAGCCCCTGGGGAGGGACAATATGCATGCTCCTCCTCCTGGCTGGATGGGGGAAAGGCCTGTGTTTTTAAATCATCTGAAAGGAAAAATGAAGACTCTAACAATCAAAGAGAAGCATGGATTTATAGAAATGCAAGGTATATGTAGGAATATATAAGAAGTGTAAGAAATTATGATCCTGACTTTTGGCTTCAAGATGAGAATGTTACAGTTTAGACCTGTCCAAAATTTGCAGGCAAGATAGGATGCAGCCAGCTTTTTTGTGGTACATTTTCTGCCTGTTCCCCCAAGTCTGACCCTCTTTATAAAAATACTGGAGGAAAAATTATGATTTTCTTTCTTCTGCTACTGAAGTAGGACTTATATCAAGATTCTAGTTTTGACTGAATTTTTCAAATTTCTATAAGCTACCATGGCACCACTTCCAGGATTTCAAGGCGGTCTGAAGGTAGTAGAATATATTAGTGAAGAGCATGGCTTGGGAGACAGACTTGGAATGAAATTTGACTCCTCTGTTTATTGTGTAATTTTAGGTAAAGACAAGCAAAACATGCCAACCTCTTTAAGGGTGTTTCCACATTTGTAAAATAGTTAGATCAGAGGTATTTTTGTCCTTGGACTGTTTTGGTGACTGAGTAGAAATAATTCATAAGCTTCTATAAAAATGATAGACACCTAGCTCTGTGCAAAGCTGCCATTATGATGACCATGATAATGTACTGTCAACTAAGAATTTTGTTTTCCCTCTTTCCTTTAGAAAGCTTTCCATATTCTACAGAGGAATTTGAAATTTGAGAACACATGAGCACAATATGATAGAGAGACAGGATGCATTAGGCAAAAGGTAAATGGTGCTTGAGAAGAATATGAGGGAGATGAGGTATGATGAAGGACGAGCGGAAGCATGCTTGGTAGTCAGGTATCAATGGCTTGGAAGATTGGAATTGTTTTTCATCTTGTACCAGTTGACTGCTCTGCAGATTGTGGATCCATGGAGGAATTTCACTTGCTTAGACACAGAATTTAAAGATACAATCTTTGGTTTCAGATGGCTTAAAGAGAGTTCTGTGTAGAGAGACCATTTTAACATACCTTGAAGCATTAGTTCCTTGGTCTGTGATGCTCTGGTCAGAAAAGCAGAACTCTTATCACCTACCTGTCCTTAAATCAGCTTACCTCACACTAGAAAAGAGATGGAAAGAAGGAAAGAGAACAAAAACAATGTAGGAACTGAATACATTTGTGTACTAAGTAAAGAAGGAGAGAGAAGAAAAGATGGTGTTTGCAATTCATTAAAATTAGAAGCAAATTCAAAACAGAACAGTCAATACTTATTGGAGCCAGGAGAAAACCCAGACAATATATGCAGAGTTTGAGAGACACTCTTTAAGTGATCACGGTGATTGGAGCCAGTCTTCCAGGCTGTGAGCATTGTGGTAGGGGCCAAGTTGAGAGAAGGAAGGTGGGAGCTCACCCTTTGCCAGTCATACGATGGAGTCATCAGGCACAGCTCTCCAGTTGACCGCTCCCATCACCCGAGCCTGGCCCCACTAAAGAAATGATATGATCCCAGCTCGTGATCACAAGACAGCAGGGATATCTGCTTTTTGTTGACATAAGAACTGAAACTAACCAGAAAAATGTGTCTGGCTTTGAATTGGGTCCTTCTGGCAGGCAACCTGGGAACACTGGGAAAGAGGGAGGGGCAGCCAGGCAGGAGTGGGTGTCAGGGGTGACAGGTGCTTTCACCAGTCATATTACCTTTGGCTTTGGTGCCACTGTGGTCTCCTGGTGGGATGCTGGCTGAGCCCCAGAATCTCCCCTCTCTCCCTTTGACTTTTGGTAACCCACTATGGTGACACTTTTCACCCAACAAGCCATGAGTGTCCAGGACTCTGAGTGTCTGCCCATCCTGTTCCCCTCACTCTGAAACTTTCTTCTCCTTGCTTCTCCTCTGCTGCTGGGAAGTCTTGCTCATCTTTCAAAGACCAGTTCCTGAGTTACCTACTATGTGAATCTCCCCGCAAACACTCCCCCTCCTGCCCAGGATGGGCAATCCCTTCTCCAGCCCCTGTAGTAGTGCTCTCTTACCACTGCAAAACAAGCCTGCATATATGATATTAATGTTATTTAGTAGAACAATTTGTATTCTCTTTCTTCTTGGTCCATGTTTTCTACTTTATGATTTGCATTCTTTGTATTATATTCTCACAAATCATCAAAGAAAGTAGTAAGATATAACCAAAATGCATCTCCCACATTTTCCTTTTTAACTTCCTCTCCTCCCTTCTTGTCTCTCTTCTTCTTTCCATTCTCCCTGCTTCAGATGTTTTCTGATTCACTGCTTCAACCTGTGATGAGCTCTGCTGGTAGCTCCTTAAGGGTCTTGTTTATCCAAACTTAGTGAAGTACCTGACCCTTCTAAGTTCTCAAAAAACAGTCACCTCATTTGTTTCATGGTGGTGAATTCTAGGGCCCCCTACATAAGCCATCAGTTCAGTTCAGTTCAGCCACTCAGTCATGTCCGACTCTTTGTGACCACATGAATCGCAGCATGCCAGGCCTCCCTGTCCATCACCAACTCCCGGAGTTTACTCAAACTCATGTCCATTGAGTTGGTGATGCCATCCAACCGTCTCATCCTCTGTCGTCCCCTTCTCCTCCTGCCCCCAATCCCTCCCAGCATCAGGGTCTTTTCCAATGAGTCAACTCTTTGCATGAGGTGGCCAAAGTATTGGAGTTTCAACCTGAGCATCAGTCCTTCCAATGAACACCCAGGACTGATCTCCTTTTGGATGGACTGGTTGGATCTCCTTGCAGTCCAAGGGGCTCTCAAGAGTCTTCTCCAACACCACAGTTCAAAAGCATCAATTTTTCAGCACTCAGCTTTCTTCACAGTCCCACTCTGACATCCATACATGACCACTGGAAAAACCATAGCCTTGACATAAGCCATAGCCCCAAGGAAATGGCTGGAATCTCTTAAATTTAACTACAGAGTTTGGAAGATGCCTCTTGTTCATTAATTCTCAAATGTTCTTAAAGACACCATTGGTGTTCTTAGGCACCATTCTCAGAGAATATAATTATGTTTATTATGTGCCATTATCAATCAGCTTATCAGTAAAGGTCCCAGCAGGAAACTGATAAATGCTCAAAGGGGGACAATTCAAGGAACTTCAGTAAAGGGACTGCTGATAAAAGTGGGGGCAGGATATAGTAAATGACAAGGAGATGGTCCAGAATCCCTGGGTGAAAGGGTGATATCCCCTCTAGACCTAAAGAGTTGACTATAAGGGGCAGTTAGCAGAACCCATGAGAAGAGAGTGCAGCAGGTGTATGAAGAGCTCTGCTGAAGGGGGAGGCCACCCTTACAGCGACCCCTTGGAGGTAGTAACAAGAATCAGCAGCCCGACCTCCCTTGCTTCTCTGCCTCATCAGTATCCTACCAGTGCTGCCCTGAGTGCTACAGCAGATACAAGTCAAAGGCATGAAGCCCACAGGGCCCAGGGTCCCAGGGCACACCGCAGGGCAGAGTAGGATGGAGAGCTGTCTGGAGAAGCCCGTGAGGAGAGCCAAGAGTTGGCCTGAAGGAGCGTCTTTATTTAATGACTCCCTTATGTGCACATGCACCTTTCACCAGCAATGTACCTGGGTGTTGTGAAATTGCACATTAGGACCAGGTGTAAAGAGGGAGAGAGGCAAAATCATTTTGCCCGTTGTGAATATGTACACAAATAATCATCAGGACTCTGCCGAAGACTGGGAACTATTTTGATGAGCCTTTTTGTGTGACTCTGATAACAGAAAACTTTGTTTCTAGAAGGAAATCCTGCTCACGTGTTCCTCTGGGCACTGGGACTGGGCTGTGAGCTGCCAGCCCCTTGATTGTGGTGTCCCCGACGCATCTCTGGTGAACTACGCGACCTTCTCCTGCTCAGAGGGAACCAACTTTCTGAAACGCTGCTCTATCTCCTGTGTCCCACCAGCCAAGCTTCAAGGTATTGTCTGGCCAAGCAGGAGTTATACGCAAGTTGTCTTCAGGTTCTCTCTCTTTGGGGAGGGGGGTACTTTGGGGATCTTTTCTTTACTCCAGTGACCTTCCCACCTGACTCTGCTGAAGCACCCCCTTTTGACAAGCAAGAGGCAACACATTCCTTGTCTCAACCACTTGGAAGGATGCCCCTAACTCAAGATCTCACTGATGAAAGAAACTGAGACTTTCCTGTTTTTATTTGAGTTTATGTTCTCTGGAGTCAAGCCAACTAACAGTTTTCTGAGCTTATTAATAATTCAGATAGCCTTTATCACGCACATTTTAAAATTTAATATTTATAACCCTTCTGTGAGTAAGGTGCCTTTAGTCCTATTTTAGCAATGAGAGCACAGCTGTATGAGCTGTACTGCTAGGGAGAGATGAGGATGTGGTAGAACTTCTTCTGACCCCACAGCTTTTTGTTGTTGTTGTGTAAGAGAGCGTGGGAAGAGGCTATTTCATTTCACTTGTTTTTTTATTTATTTTGGCCACACCCTGAAGCATGTAGGATCTAGTTTCCCAACCGGGAATCGAACCCGTGCCCCCTGCCTTGGAAACACAGATTCTTAACCACTGAATTGCCAGAGAGGTCCCTCTGACCCTGCGTCTTGCTCTTCCTCTTGAACTTAGGTGTGCCCAACAGTGATCCAACAGACTTCTTATAAATGCAGATTCCTAGGCTCATGCTGACAGAGTCTGATTTAGTAAACCTGTAGTGGCTTAGTGATACTACATAGATTGAACTCAGAGAAAACACTATGGCATATGGCATATGGTGTTGAAGTACAGAAGTTTGTATCAAACTGCCGAAGTTCAAACCCTGCCTCTGCCCTTACTAGCTTGGACAAATTACTTAAACTCAATTTCCTCATCTGCAAAATAGGGGATAATGATGGTATCTATTTCACAGGGTTGTTTGAGGTTTGAAGTTTACACAAGTGATACATGTAAAATGCTTATAGCAGTGCCTGGCATGTAATGAGCCCTATAAAAGTGTCATCTAGTATTATTATAATCCTTTCCACGATACTGTCACTACTTTATTTTTATTATTTGTAGTGAGGAAGTGAGGTAAGGATTTGGTTGGTAGCCCTTCTTTCATTCAGGTCAAGAACTAGCTTTCTGACCTCTATGCTACACAAGAGAACACAGTAGATGCTCTGTGGGTAGAAAGATATAGGATAAACATTTGACCTGACGTTGTAGAGAAGCTGCTCCACGAAAAGCACTGTGACTTTACAAGAATGACGGTCTGTTGCCAGGTCTTCGTTCTTTCTGTTTGTATTTTATTTTTGGACTCTCTGTTCTGAGCATCCTGTGCCTCTCTTTCTTGGAGTCAGGTCTGAGCCCGTGGCTGACCTGCCTTGAAGACGGGCTCTGGTCTCTCCCTGAAGCCTACTGCAAGTTGGAGTGTGATGCTCCTCCTGTAATCCCGAATGCCAACCTGCTCCAGCCTCGCTGCCTCCAGGGCAACCACGACGTGGGCTCTACCTGCAGATATGAATGCAAACCAGGCTACTACGTGCTGGGAAGCACCAAGAATAAAGTCAGGAAGTAAGTTGGAACGTTCCTGGTCTTTGCAGTGCTCCCTGCCCTGCACCTTGCTCCTGTTCTTTCACTTGCAAATCTGAGACCATTGTTTGGAAATAACATTAAAACTTTCTGGGTTGTCCCCTGTTTGTTGCATTTGTTTTTCTATGTAATCCCTCTTCAACTGCACAAGTGTGTTCCCCCCAGTCATGACAGGCAGGCTGGCCAGATATGCTTCCTGTAAAGATTTGCTTTCCCATAACAGATTCCAGAGTCTCATCTTGGTGTGATTGAAAAGAATCTCTACCCAAATTATTCTTTTCCTTGAAAGTAAGTGTTAGGAACTTCTTAAGTGGTACACACGTCACCCAAATCCAACTTTGTCCTAAAACATCATCATCAGGCCCATTGGAAGTTTAAAATTGTGGCTGTGGCAGCAATTGCCAGTTGTGGCTGTGGCAGAAATTGCCTAGGATGGTCTCCAACTCAGATTCTTATTAGGTATGTGATGCTGGGAAGTTTCTCTGTCTCAGTCTCTCATCTGTAAAATGAAGATAATGATAATAATAATGTAGGAACTAACTAAATTAATATGTGTAAAACTTGAGTCAGTGAATTAATTTTTTTAATTTTAATTTTATTTTTGGCTGTGCTGGATCTTCAGTGCTGCGTTCAGGCTTTCTCTAGTTGTGACAAGTGGGGGCTACTCTCTATTGCAGTGACTTCTGTTGCAGAACGTGGGCTCAGTAGTTGAGGCTCATGGAATTTGTTGCTCTGCAACATATGGAACTTTCCTGGACCAGGAATTGAACTCATGTTCCCTTGATTGGCAGGTAGATTCTTAACCACTGGACTACCAGGGAAGTCCAGTAAATCTATTTTTAAAACATAAAACTCAGTACCTATTATCTATTAATATTGTAATTATAGTATTTCTGCTTTATCCTTCCTGGACTTCGTGTGTATACATTCCTAGACCCAGAAATCAAGAGGACCTTTCTTCTAAATGCATGGCAGACCAGAAAGAATAAAAGTTTTGCTGCATAATTTAAGAGGAACTGTTTTGAAAACACTTGTGCTGGGGTTCAAATCCCAGTTGTCAGCCATTTTATTAGCTGAGTAACCTCAGGCAAGTGACTAAACTCTTTGGGTCTCATCTCCTTTGTAAACTAGGAGTAATGCCTGCACCAAAGTGCTCAGTTGAGGATTAAACAAGATAATACATAGTCAGCTGAGTAACCTCAGGCAAGTTACTAAAGTCTTTGGGTCTCATCTCCTTTGTAAACTGGGAGTAATGCCCGCACCAAAGTGCTCAGTTGAGGATTAAACAAGATAATACATAGTCAGCCCCAGTAGCTCAGCAGGCAAAGAATTTGCCTGCAATACAGGAGATGTGGGTTCAGTCCTTGGGTTGGGAAGATCCCATGGAGGAGGAGGCATGGCAACCCACTCCAGTATTCTTGCCTGGGAAATCCCATGGACAGAGGAACCTGGCGGGCTACAGTCCATGGAGTTGGATATGACTGGGTTCACAAACAATATAATAATGTACAGCTCAGTGCCTGACTTGTGCTAAATGCTCAATAAATTGTTCCAAAAAAAAAAAGAAAGAAACATTTTCTGAACAAATAAAACAAGCGAAAAACTTTCAGAAGAAACTCCTTGTACTCAGTAAATTGTAACTATTATTTTCCTACCATAGATTATGTCTTATTACTTATCTAGGACTTAGTTCAAAATCTGACCATGGTAGGTATTCTTTTTAAAAGATTTTTTTTTTTTGAACTGACAAAATCCCAGCCATGGCACTACCAGTGATTCCAGGAGATATCAACTTTGACTGTAAACTAGAATTTTCTAAGGGAGCAGAAGAAAATCAGGAAGCTTACTGTCTGGCTTCCATTTGCCCTTCTCTAGTCTACATCCAGACATCTCAGTATGGGACGGATTGAGTCTAGCTTCGCCCAGAGCCTTTCACTCCTGAGAAAACCCAAGATAATATTTGGAGGGGAGGGAGCCCCTTCCTCATCATCTCAGCGTAAGGCAAGAACTAGACTAATTAGAACATGAATAATACTGATGAAAAATTCATAGGAAGCAGCATTCTGGTTCAGTGACTCTAGCAGGTACAGTCAACAGTTTTTGACAACCAAAAACACATTTGCATGTTCTGGTCATAGGGTCTAAATCAATTTGCATCAGCATACATTGATGGGCAGGGAGGGCCCAGGTCATCTTCCAGTGAGAATGGCATTACAACCAGCCCCAAAGGCTGTTGTTTTCTTGCTTTTTTTTCTTTTCTTCTCGCCTGCCTTTTCTCACACCTGCAGCCAATTCAGGGGTCTGCAGAACAGTACAATAAAGACTAGAGGGAGAGAGAACAGTCTTGGGACCAGGAGGAATTCAGGGCAGAGGGATTTTTCCTAGCTCCCCAGGCCCATGGCTGAACTTTGCATTGGGGGAAGCAGGGGCAAACAGGGGCCGTTTGCTGGCATGACTTTCTTTTCTGGTTGAGAAACTGGAAGCTTGCATCACAACGTCAGCATGGGTTTGAGCTTAAACATTTACATTTGCAAGCACCATCCTGAGGAGAGATTAAATTATTTACCACACTGTGTAAACTGATTTCAATCTTAGTTTACACCTGTTTACATATGGCAGTAGATTGGTAATCAGAAGTTTGCAAGTCAGGAGTAAATCACTGTCACTTGCTGCTTGTGTTTACCCAACAAACTATGTCAGCCTTGTCCCTTGCTTGGAGCCCAGCGTTGTACAAATGGAGCCCTGAAATTCTTTTTAGGGCATGAAGGCAGGGGGAGAAGAGGTTGAGAGAAGTTGGCAGGGAAATCAGCTCAGACACAGTGGGCACGCTCTAGTCTTCTGCACCTCTCTGAGAAGTGGAAAAACCCCCTTGATGGTCAAAGTTCGCCTCTTGTTCTTTGCATGACCCTGAACAATGTACTCCGCAGTCATAGCCATGTGTCTCAGACTTTGCATTCTTAATGTGAGGGGCAGTAATGACTTCTACTGAACAGTATTATTTTGATGCCCAAAGTAGGTAATGTCCTGAAAGTGTTTTATAAACTATGAAGTTCAATACATGTGCTAGATATAACTGTTTGTTCATTTCTTTGTGGGAGATGGAAATAACTACCAAAATATCAGCCAAGTACATTGCCTTCCTGCTTCTTCTCAAGTCTGTTGAATATTGTTTCAAGAGAGAAAAAGAGAAGTGCTGCGTCTGACTTTTCTCTTCCATCCAGCTTGTTTAAGTTTTGTCCCATTGCACGTGGAGGTTAGTGTGGAAGGCACAGCTGCAGCTGGCACTTTCTCATGTGCGTGCTGTGTGTCAGCCTCGGGGTTAGGAGCAAAGACACCTGCAAGAGTAGGACCAAGGCTGTGGCCTCCAGGAGCACACAGCCTCCATGCTCCCTGTTTCATGGGCATCATTTCTTCTTGCAAGAGAGTATAGGAGTGGACACGGACCACAGTAGGCCATTTCGCCTGGCCCTTGGATCCCTTGCCCCTTATTTCTGGGATTTAAAGATGGCACCGTTCACATTGAATCTAGTCCCTGAGAACAGGGAAATGCAATGGTTTGGCCTGGGTAGTTCTGACCTTGAAGTCCTGGGTAGAGTCAGCATTATCCAAACCATATAGATTCTATAGAAGGAAAAACTGAGAAGGAGGTTAAATGGATGTTTTGGGTGACAACAGTGACAATTCAGTGAAACAAATGCCCATTAAATGGTACAATCATAGGCTGGTACAGGCATATTGTGAAGCATTCTTCTAAACATTAAAGATGTTTAGAAGAATATTACGGACATGGGAAAACATTCACAATATGGTAAATGGATAAAAGCAAGAACATAATTATTATGTGACACAATCCCTATTTTCCACATTAAAGGTATATTTTTAGAATTCTTTTTCAGTAGCTAGAAGTGACGATGACATTAACAGCCATAATCTCTATATAGTAGGTTTATAGGGAATATAGCTTTTATTGTTCTGCTTGTTTATATATGCTAAATTTTCTAGACTTTAGAATGAGATAAATAGTTTAAAAACAAAGTAATGAAGTGAGCTAGAAAGAGATCATAGCCATTTGTGGAGGTGGAGAGTGATAAAAGGAGAACTAGCCACATCTTTCTAAACAGGCAAACCAAACAGAGACCAGCAATCCAAGATGGCATTAAGACAGGGACTTGCCACTGGCATCCTGTTCCTAGTCTCTTCTATATTTTTTTAATTGGAGTATAATTGCTTTACTCTGTTGTGTCAGCTTCTGCTGTGCAATAATGTGAGTCAGCTATAAGTATACATATATCGCCTCCTTCTTGAACCTCCCTCCCACCCCTCTCCATCGCACCCCTCTAGGTCATCACAGAGCACTGAGCTGAGCTTCCCGCCTATACAGCAGCTTCCCACTAGCTGTCTATTTTACAAATAGGAGTGTATCTACATCAGCACCAGTCTCACAGTTCATCTCACCCTCCCGTCCCCCCTCCATGTCCACACGTCTGTTCTCTACATCTGCATCTCTATTCCTGCCCTGTAATAGGTTCATTTGTACCATTTTTCTAATTCCACATATATACTTTAATATACAAGCACTGTCTCTGTTCTTGAAGGCTGTCTCAGACCTCATCTCCTCCAGGCCTAACGCCTCTTTCCTGACTTCCAGCAGATCATCTTACTCCCAAAGCACAAAGGTCTGCCCACAGGTGTGCCCGCCAAATGACACCTCCAAACAGGCTTCCCCCCTTCTTACTGTCCAAAATGAGTTATGACCAACAAGGACCTACTGTATAGCACAGGGAACTGACTTTGTTTTGTAATAACCTATAAGGGAAACAAATCTGAAAAAGAATATATATATATATTTATGTGTTATATGTATATATACATAAAACTGAATCACTGTTCTGTACATCTGAAACTAACACAACATTGTAAATCAACTATAGTTCAAAAAAAAACCCTCAAATATATATATATATATATATATATATATATAT